GCACTGCTCAGGAGGCCGTGCAGGGCAGTGGGCAGTGCCCTCCTGAGGCCTCAGACACCCAGCATTTCAACTGCAGTGCAATAACATGTAAATCTGATGAAACAAGGCTGGGATGTGGTGTGCTCTGACTCGGGGCTGGAACCAGAACCTCTGGAGGAAGGAGCAGGTGAAGGCTGCAGGGACTTTGCCACTTGGTTCTCTGCCACCCAGGGGTGGCCACAGATGGCTTTCTGTTCTCAAGTTCATTTCATTTGCATAATTAATTGGTCTGCACAGCCTGAGAATTCAGGTTACCCCTGTTTTGGTTTGATTCTTTTTTTGTTCCTTGCTCCAAAAATAACCTGAGCAGCTCCGAGCTCCTCCTTGCTGGACGTGCCCTTGGACTTTAAACGGGCTCTTTTTATTTAACAGCAGAAATGACAGGCAACAAATTCCCACTTTTCCATGGAGTTCCCTTCTCTGGACACGCTCCATCCTTCCATTTGTGTCTGATGGATCTTGTCGTGCCACAGACTTGACTTCAGCCATTGTAGAAAAATCCCATGTGTGTGACAAACAAAGGTTTCCAAAACTTCTCCTGCTTGGAAGTTTTCCCCTCACGAGTTTGGGCAAAAGAGCTCAGAGCATCCACACAGATGTTCCTGCAGTTACATCCTAATACCCAGATCATGGAGTGACTCACTACAGATGTTTGACCTCAGCCACAGATACAACAGAGGTCAGGAGATTTCTTTGAATAGCTTCCTGTGCAAAGCAGAAAATACCAACAAAAAACACAAGATATTGCCTGAAAAGCTTTAAAGTTTCCAGTTAGAGAGCTTGTCCCGGCCATGGGAGCTGTTCTGGGGCTTTCCTGCACCTCCCTCCCCGCAGCTCCTGCTCTTGGGTTTTGTTCTGTCTCTGCTTGTTCGCTGCGGTTTGGTTTTATTAGGAATAAATCAGATTTATGTGCAGGCTGCCATCAAACCACCACATAATTGGCCGTTAAAGAGGAGGTTTGGGATTACGACTCTCCTGGTGAAAAGAATGTTTTTCCAGCTTTGAGCTGTCCCTGAAGCATCCCTGCTTTTCACCTCCCTCTGGAGCTGCAGCCCCTGAACTGTGTAATTCCAGCAGAGCCCCCTCGCTCCCCAGAACCTCCTGGTTTGCTCCTGGTTGATGCTGGTGGGTCCCAGCATCGCCCCAGGGATGTGCTCCAGCTCCTGCTGTTGTTTTCCCAGGATGAAGCCTTTCTGTGTCCCTAGTTCGTTAATTCTGTGGAAAAGGGTCATTCCACCCTCCCTCCCCCACCACCACCTCTGCTTTCTGTTGTGAATTTTATTTTTTCATTACCATTATCAGCTCTCACATTCTTCAATATTTGTCTTTTCTTTCCTTGGCCTGCCTTGATGCCTCCCGTGGAACAGAGGTATTGATCCTGGATCTGCACCCTCAGGCACAGGGGAGAGGGGAAAAGGCAGCAGGAGATCGTTATTTAGATTTGAATAATAAATAAAGGGCCTTAGTTATGAGTTTGGTTATATAATATACACTGCACAAAAGAAGCTGTTCCTTCATTTCCACCTCCTTCCTGATAGGTTTTTGAGTACTGGGAGGATAAGAGTTCACCCAGCAAATAACAGGAAGAGAATTTTTCCCCTTAAATAGTGCATGGAATTTGTTCAGGAGAGAGAACATTGGACAGAAAGTGCTCGGTGCTGTCAAGTGTGTGCTGTGACCTCCTCACGTCGGAGCTGATGAGTCTCAAAGCACGTGGGGATCCAACCTGATGGACTTCCACGGGTGTTCCAAGGACTGTGGAGCTCTTCAGGCAAAGAGAGCAGAACAGCAGGGGAAGTGTTTGGGCTGTGGATTTAGATTTGGGTGTTATGGAGATATTCCTGGCTGGGAGGGTGGGGAGTCCCAGAGAAGCTGTGGCTGCCCCTGGATCCCTGGGAGTGTCCCAGGCCAGGTTGGACGGGGCTTGGAGCAACCTAGGCTGGTGGAAGATGTCCCTGCCCAGGGCAGGGGAGGAATGGGATGAGCTTTGAGGTCCCTTCCAGCCCAAACCAATCTGGGATTCCCTGATTCTGGGATTCTGGGGCAGTTCAGCCCTTGGCATAGGTTGCTTGGAGGGGTGATGGGGTCTCCATCCTTGGAGTGTGAGGATCCTGATGGGGAGCCTGCTCTGGCTGATCCAGCTGGGCAGGGAGGGGGGGGATTGGGTGCCCTCACAATGTCCCTCCCAGCCACGCTGTTTCTGTCACCTGCAGTGCCCAACTGCAGGAAGCAACTTCAGGAATTCCAGAATCATCATTTACCCTGTGGTTTTGTGCTCCCTCTCTGAGCTGTGGGGCTCTGCTGCTGATCCAGCACCATCCTCTGGCACAGTCCCCATGCAAAGCTGTCAGACTGAGGTCAGGGGCAAAACAAGATGCAGAGCCCGGGACAGGAGCTGTGTTTGGGATGTGCCTGGGCCTCTGACTCCTCTCATCCACACTGGCAACATTTCCTGCCTTCCAAGAGTCTGAACTGCTCACTGGGAGCCGTTCCTGGCTCCTGCTCACTCCCAAACTCCTCCCAGGAGCTGTTTGGGAAAGGGCTCTTTGACCAGAACTGCGCTGGGGTTTGCTGACCATCACTCCCATCACTCCTGCCTGGATAGCTGTGATTTCTGGTGAGGTTTTCAAGGCAGAAAAACCCCTCCTCAGCAGCTGGTTCCAGAATACTTTGCATTTAAAATATTCATTTAAATATTTAAAAATTAATTTAAACATTTTAATATATTTTAAAGGTTGGTTGTTTGTTTTTTTTTTTCCCCCAACTCTTGGGAGCATCTCGGAAGGGGAATTTTAAACCAGAAGTTTTGGTAAAGTGGGGTTGAGCTGCACTGCAGGGCCAAAGGAGCAGATGTCACACAGGGGCAGATCTGCCACAGAGCAGATCTCACTGCTCCACTGCTGTTGTGTATCTTGGTTCCATGAATAATTCAGGGTTTCATCCTGCTGGTCTCATGATCAAGGCGATGTTTCCGTCGTGGCTGTACCAGCAAACACAGGTGCCATCCTGACAGATGTTTTTCAAAAGATATTCCCCAAAAATAGATGAATGGCCTCAAGAAATCCTCAGGCCTGGGAGAGGCTTTATTGGGCTCAATAAGGACGTGGAATCACAGAATCAGTGAGGTTGGAACAGACCTCCACGATCATCGAGCCCAACCTTTGACCAGTCTCCACCCTGAAACCTTTAAAAAGCTGTTCCTAATTTTTTCCTTTGCCTTTATCACTGCTAGCAAGGATTGAGCTGGAAACTTTGGGATACTGGTAGTTGCAGAACTGGAGGGAACTGGTGGAAATGCCCCCTAATAATGCTGCTAAAACCAGATTGCAAATGGTGAATTGCATCCACTGTCTTATAAAATACTGAGGAGGTGTTTGTGTGTTTAAGGAAATCCTATGATGTCCCCTCCCAAATGCAAATCCCAGCCAACATCCATGGAAATGTGGCTGGAAAACACAATTTTGGTGGCAGAAGCTGCTCGTGGGAGGTGTTCCTGTCAGAGCTGCACGTGGGGGCCGTGGTGCGTGTGGGGCAGGAGTGGATGCAGAGCTGGGAAGGGAATGTTTGGGAGAACAAGCAGAGTTTGGCCCTGCAGATGTGGGTGGGACATTCCTGGTGCTCGGTCAGGGAGAAGTAAGTGGGGAGCTGAGGAGGGGAGGGAGAGCCCTGTTAATTAACTGCTCGTTACCACGGGTGGTTTTTTCAGTGTTTGTTTGATTCCCTGGATTCCTGGGCTCTGAGGGTGGTTAAATGAAACAAGCTGGGGAGTTTCAAGGCAATTCCTGGCTACTCCAAAAGAGGGGCAGGATCAGGGGGCTGAGCAGGGAATGCCAGGGGAGGCAAAGGCTGCAAACAGGTCGAGCTCCCTCTGTGCCCTCGTGCTGGAGGAAGCTGGAGCTGGAATTCCTGGGGATGAATTCCAGGGTTAACTGCAGTGTGAATGCAAAGGTGGTGGCAAATACAAACCTGTGGGGCTTGTAATCCGTGTTCCAGGAGAGCTGCAGAGGGACTGGGGACAAGGCATGGAGGGACAGGACACAGGGAATGGCTTCCCAGTGCCAGAGGGCAGGGACAGATGGGAGATTGGGAAGGAATTGTTGACTGTGAGGGTGGGCAGGCCCTGGCACAGGTTGGGCAGAGAAGCTGTGGCTGCCCCTGGATCCCTGGGAGTGTCCCAGGCCAGGTTGGACGGGGCTTGGAGCAGCCTGGGCTGGTGGGAGCTGTCCCTGGCCATGGCAGGGGTGGGACTGGATGGGCTTCCAGCCTCATTCCGAAGGGTGGGGGATGTCTTTGGGTGTCACTGGAGGGTAAATGTAAGCAAGCATTGATTCCATGCCTGGAGCTGCTGCTGTTCTCCTCTCCCAGCAGCTCAAACCCCGTGGCAGAGCTGGCCAGGGACATTCCCTGTGGGCTCCCCTGCACTGACACCAGCACTCAGGTGGCCTCAGCACCCTGGCACTGGGAAACTCAGGGTCTGAGGATGTAAATAAGTGGCTCACCAGCCCATGGCTGGGTTGTGTGGGACAGGGAGGAACATGAGGCTCTATCCATTTGTTTATTCCAACCCACTTGATCCCATTAAAATGAACCCCAAGCAGGTGGTGTGTGTGTGCACTGGTTGTATCAGTGAGTGCTGGTTGTAACAAATCTTGGCTTCATTTCTTTAAACATTTGAAAGAACTGCCCCAATTTGAATGGTTCCTACATTGGCTTGAGCTACTCGACAGTGCCAAAGGTGAGTTGTGTGCTCTGAAATGTTGATTTTTTTAGTGTAACACAAGGATTGTGAGAAGCACCAGAGCAGGCCAAGTTCTTCAGGTGCCACTGGGTGAAGCAGTTCCTGCTGCTGCTCTCGGCCTGACACCGTCACAGGACACAGGGCTGGGCTTTTCCCAAGGGATGGGTTGGTTTTTTTCCTCATTTTTGTGAGTCACTAACAGGCATGGATGTTCCCATTGCAGCCCTCCTCGGCCTGTGAGTAACATGAACGAGCCCGTGGTGACCCACGTGTCCTCCGGAGCGCCCACGCCCACCAAAAGGTACTTGTGCAGCTCGGGGGGTGTTTCTGGGGGAGGGGGATGAGGTACAGAGCGTTCCATCCCCTCTCACCCGTCCCAAAGCACTGCAGGGCAGGGGTGGGGCAGAGTGGAAAGCAGGAATCCCTCACAGGAACCTTTCTGCTCTCCCCGAGGTGATTTTCATTTACTGAGTCTGTGCTGTTGCGCGAGTGCCACTGGGGAAACACAGGCAGAGGGGTTTGTTTGCCTTCTGAAGTGGAACATGACTTCCCAAGCTCTCCTGGGAAAGGCTGGTCGTGTTGTCCCTGGCCCTGGGCTGCTCTTCTTGCCAAGGGTGATCCTGTTCTGCTGGGGACATTCCACGTGGTGGTGGTCCCACGTTGTCCACCCCACACACAGCTCAGCTCCCAAAGCTCTCTGGAGCTCCCCATTGTCTACCAGAGGCGTTTAGGGTCGGGTTGAACTTGGGTTTGTGTTTACCCAGTGATATTTATGTAAATTATTGTGCTGCTGAGGGTCAGCACACGAGCAAAAAGCTTCCCTGAATGGTGTGTTTGCACTTTCCTGTCTTGCTAAGGGAGAACAGCGAGGTGGGGAAGGTGCTTGACAAAGCTGGGAATGAGTAAATGCTCCTGCAGGGAACGAGGAGCCCAACTGTCACTGTGTCAGTGGCGAGGGGTGCTCCAGAGGCAAAGCAGAGCTGCATTTCCAGCAGGCAGAACCAGGATCCATGGACTTCCCTTCTGCTTTCCTTGACAAAACAAGTCAGTCGTGTCTGTGGGTTCTATCTGGCCCTGTTAAAATTATCCCCAGATTTGCCTGTCAGCCCTTCCCTGGGGTGTCAGCCAGCACTGCCAGATATGCAATAGCTGTGTCACCTCAAACAGGGCTGGGGGGAGTCCCCATCACTTTCCAGATGCAGTTGGACAAGTGTTGGATAACCTTTCTTAGGATTCCTTTCTCAGGAAAGGTGGGACCAGACAATCTTGAGATTCAGGAGGAATTCAGGATTCTCCTGCAGCCTCTTCATCCTCTGGCTGGAATGGTCCAGCTCTGTCCCCTCTGACTCAGGAGGGACGGTTCAGGTGGCCACAATCACCCTCTTCCTTAGTTTCTCCTTTGTGATTTAACCTTTTTTTCCCCTTTTCTTACCCCAAGGGGGTAATTCACCCTTTACAGAACCCTGAATTCTGCAGTCCTGGGGCCCATCTGGGTGTTTGGGATGATCCTGGGGCCCATCTGGGTGTCTGGGATGATCCTGGGGCCACCCTGTCCTGTTCTGGCTCACCAACCTTTCCCCTCTTTCCAGCACAGGGTGGGTTTCTGTGCTGGTGGATGACACGGGTCCCTCTTTGTCTCGTGATGTGTTCCCAGGAGCCCTCCTGGCTCTGCTTCCTGCCACTCCAAGGGTTCTTTCTGCCAGTGAGTCTGCTGTGCTGTCTGTACAAATCCTGTCTGAGCTGGAAGGAGAGCCCACAGGAGCAAACTCTTTATTACTAAAGAGCAAATGAGAGGATTCCAGCGCTGGCTTTATGCCAAGTGCCAGTATTGATCCTGAAGTGATTTTACCTGAGGAAAACGGGGCTTTAAACCTTTCTTTCTGCGTCAACACCCAGAAACTCCCTCAGGAGACATCTCTCACCCCCTCATCTGCCAGCTGTGCTCCTGTGCCTCTGGGGCAGGGCCCTGCCTACCTTCTCCCTCTTTATCTGAGAAGGGAGAGGGATTCCTGGGAATCAGTTCTCATTTGCTGACTCAGGCCTCTTGCATCTGTTGGGAGGGAGCTGAGTGAGAGCATCAAAACACCTGGATGGCAACAAAAACAGTCTCCTTCAGCCTTTGGGGCTGATTCTTGGCCACAGCCACTGCCCAGCAAGGGTGATTCTGTTGATCCCGTGACTGGAATGGCACCAGGAAATTGCAGGCAGCTCGAATTTTGGAAGCCTTACAGATAAAGAGAGGTGACTTCTCATTTCAAAGCACTGAATTCTTCTGTTTTCTGGTAAATAACCCTTCCCTCAGTGACTCAGGGTGAAGACCTTTGGAGCACATACCCTGTACGGATCCCAGCCCCACAAGGGCTTGGACGTTGGAATAAACATGGAATAAAC